TTCAACCCAAATATTCAGATGTGTGCAGCACATTTTATGGAGTTTCCTGATCCTGGGAGAGTAGACTACAATGTCGGCTGTTTTGACTCACAGACTGTAAGTACGTTTTTTATATTTAAAGAATTTGCCACTGATGATTCAAACGCGAGTTTTGGGCAGTGTAGGGTAGCGCTTGTTGTTTGTCATTTCTCCGATCACAAATGCAGACATGGTTTTATGTTTACGCGGCGTGATGCAACGCAACGCGTAAAAAGACAGTATAAGTTATTATAATCCATAATTATGTCCCCACTGGATGCAACGAATGCCTCGTTTATAATGGGTTTGAATGTTTTTGTCTCGTCGCTTCGGCCAGACAGGGCATCACAGTATGGTAAGGGGCGTAACATTTCCGTCACACGCTTGAGGTATTCAGCCAATCATAACGCACTGGATAGCTAGCCAATCACAGCACACCTCGCTTTCAGACCGATGAGCTTTCTAAAAATCGACGCGTTTCAGAAAGGCGGGGCATAGAGGAGAAACAAAAATGTACAATATGTGGAAAATAATGTGTTTTTTTAACCTTAAACTGCATAACCACATTTCATTACACCAAATACACAAAATAATGTTCTTTTTAGCAACATCATATGACCCCTTTAAAAAAAAAAACAATGAGACAATGAATTACATTCCACTCTTTTTATATCTTAAAACACTTTCAGAGAAATGTTGACCCGCCTCTCTAACATATTGTTTTCTTGAAGGTGAAGACGTGAACTTGTCCTACTGGCTCACCTTGCTCTGGAACCATCTTTCAGCCTCTCTGTGGTTTTTCTCAATAAGCATCTCATATTGAGCTCTCATCTCCTGCAGCTCCTTGTCAAGGTCTGACTGAGATACACAGTCCATCTCCACGTTAACAGAGCCGCTTTGCTGCTCTCGCAACAAATGCAGATCCTGTGGAAAAGAAGAGGAGAGAAAAGAGCAATAATTCTTCCAAAAACTGTTCTTGTGAAATAATTGGTTAATAAATTTGAGAGATTACAGTCAAATGGGAAGGTGACCTCTTCATGGCTCTTCTTGAGGTACAGCAGCTCCTCTTTCAGTCCAGTAAGCTGGTTCTCTAGATCTCCAATGGTAAGTTTGATCTCTCCCAGAACCCCCCGCATTCGAGCTGAATCCGCTTCCACAATCATGCGCAGGTTCATTTCAGTCTCATACCTGCCACAGCCAAGGAGAAAAAGGAGTATATGCTATTTCATAAGTTATAATCCTGAAGAAGAAGCAACCAATACTGAAAATTGAATATACTGTATAATTCTACTCCAAATTAAAAATAAATCTGCAATTTCAAAAATGTGAAAGTGTTGGGTTACACATCACATACTTCAGCTGAAAATCTTCAGTTGTGAGCCTGGTGTTGTCCAGCTTCAGACGGAGCTTAGCGTTCTCCATAAAACGGCTGTTAATCTTTGGACAAATGGGAATATGTGTGGTTAATCAAGGGATGTTAATATATCTTTCAAATTAGCATAACAATATTATGCATGCATTAAAAATGGGGGGAAATTACTCTTAAACTAAACTGTATTTTAGGTTTTTGTTAACATCAGCTGTAAACATATGCTAAACATTGTGTGAACAGGATTGCCCTGTGGTATTTGTGGTATTTGAAACACAAAGCATGACACAATGGCATTGGGTGAGGCAGTGTTCACCTCATGCCATTTCTGTCATTTCAGGGGTGTGATCCTTCTGATGATTGACAGCAGCTCTACCTGTGTGCGGAGCTCCAAAATGGTTTTGAAATAAGCACTCATGTCTTTGCTCTGCATCGGCGTCTTGTTGTCATAAAACTCCTTAATTTGCAGCTCAAGTTTCTTGTTGGCCTGCTCTAAAGAGCGCACCTAAAACACAAAACACATGCGCAGACCTTCAGAAAATCATTAAAGACTAGACGGAAGCACGACACATAAAAACTCAAGGATGAATACAGCTGAATTTGTAATGTTCAATCTTGTATATTTTGATTTTAGGAAATTCAAAAATATAGATATGATTTAGAATTACAGAAATAAAATTATTGTAATTTTTTTAATTAAGCCTAAAACCATTATAAATGATTATATGAAAATGTGACCACAACTTTATCCACATACAGTAACCCAAATGCATTTCAATGTTACTAAAACGTCAAATTAACAAATTCACTGTTTTAAATCAATTAAATGAATACGAATATGAAAGAAATAGAATATGATGTATAATTAATACATTTATTAAATGCATTGGTCCATAACAAAGAAGAACACTCTCATATATTAAAAAATGATTTAGGATTCTAGTCCGACTTTTACAAGATAACATAAAATTATTTCATTTTTAAAGAGTTAATATTTAAGAAATTACTTTGTTATTGACTTTATACACTAACTGTAAAAAATATTTAAGTATAGATTTTTTATATAAATATGTGTTTTAAAAACCATTCATCAGTATTCATTAGAAGAAGATAAGATGTAATTTCTGTTACATTTTCAAGTTAACCAATAGAAGGTGTGTTACCCGCTCCAGGTAAGATGCCAGGCGGTCATTGAGGTTCTGCATTGTCTGCTTCTCACTGGCATGCAACGTGACCTCATAACCAGCCGTCGTCAAGGATGAAGTGGACAAAGACCTGGAGATGCGGGCACCAAAGCCCCCAGCGCTGCCATAATTTTGTCCACTGAAAGACAAAGAGGCCCCTGAACTCCCCAATCCGTTCATGACCAATCCACCAGAGGAACCCAGGCCAGATGACCCGAACACACTCCGAGTGGTGAACGTCTTACTACTGCGACGAACTGACATGGCTGAGTGAGAAGATCTAAGTTAGTATGTCCTTCAATGTCGAACTAAACACCTAAACTAATTTGCACTAAAGATTGTCTTATATAGCCCTGCTGCATCCCACACGGTGTCAGATTTCCAGTTCCAGTGAATAGATGGAATGTGAGCGAGACCCGCCTGTGCCCATATGCAAATTAAAACCATTGACTTCAAAAACCTGCTATCACACCCTTGACCTTCAAAAACCTGTAAAATGATTTGTGGCTTAGAGAGATTACATCTTTAACTATTTTACTATTGTATAAACTGATTGTTTGTATTGGACATGTGCCAGTTCAAAGTATTAACAGTGGAATTTATGAAAAACTATAACTTTTTCTTCTTTTGAATGCAACCATTAATTATACATATACATGTGACAGTATTAAAGTGTAGGCCTGCATCTTAAACCCATTTTCAGATGTCTGTTTACTTTGTGTATTCACCACAACCACATCTTCCCTAATCTTGGGGAAAAAAAACACTCAAATGTCATGTACCTCATAAATAACCATCAATCATCGCTGGATTCATGTGTCAGAATGAAGTAAAAACTAATCTCTTAAGTACCACCCCAGATCACCATCTCTTGAACTGTACATATGTAACCCCTGATAAATCAGATTAGCTGGTGCTGTTGACAGTTAGGGGATATACCTGTTGACTTTTGAGTGAATGTGGGTGAAGTGAGTGAATGGAAATTCATTGGTAACCATGTTGTCAAAACTATTTTGACTTCTACTGTCAGAACTTGCATGCAGATTCGTGAGGCCTGACCCATTCTGAAGAAAATCTTTCACTCAGTGGGTTTTTACTTGTAAAAGCATGCATTCCACTTTGGTAGATTTCCAAAATATGTCACTTAAATGCATCTTTCATTGGAGTAATGAAAATCATTTGTATAGAGTGTAATTTCAAAAATGCTTTAAATAGGTTTTTCAGGGACTTTGAAACACATGATTTTGGGTTTGCAGACACAAGCTTTTTAAATATGAATAGTGAAGCAGTATTGTTGAAATATTTTTTTAATGAATATTCTGTCATCATTTACTCACCCTCATGTCGGTGGAAACCTGTATGACATTCTTTCTTCTGTGGAACATAAAACAAAATATGTTGAGGTTATTATTGTATCTACAATGAAATTCAGTCGTAACCAAACTGTTTGGTTACCGATATTCCTCAGAATATTTTTATTTGTCATACAGGTTTGGACCAACAAAAGGGTGAGTAAATGATGAGTGAACTACCCCTTTAAGGTTGTTCTTTTCAATCATTTCATTCTTGTAATGAGGCTTTTTATTTCATTATGATAACAGAACAGTTGTTTCATCCTGACTTTTTTACTTTATGCATAAAATGAAAAAAATGAAATTTAATTCAGAAATTAAAAACATGCTCAACATAGAAGTGGTTTGTTTCAGTCATTGTATGTGAACTGGATGTTTAATATATTTTCCACAAATGAATAGATTGGACAAAATGTGATTGCCATTATGTCATCATTAGCCAATGCTAAAGATATGGAAAGGTGGAAAATGGAAATTAAGAAGGATGCGACACATCGAATTGAGCAGCATCTGGTGTCATATATCTTATGGCTATGCATTCAACAGTGGACTGGCAATTGTTTGTTCACCTCAGACTCGCACGATAGCAGAGAATTGTGTTCTTGAATAAAATCTTTAGGTACATAAAACTAATGGTTCTGAAAGGAATCAACAGACTCCTCCTCGGCAATAAAACCAAAAGCTCTGTCACAGCCTTTCTCCATCAGTTCATTTGAATCAATAAGGCAGTTTTTAAAAAGGTCACTTATTGATGGCACATGATATAATATTACATTAGGACAATTGATTAGATGAGAACTCGGATGCTGACGTGAATAAAAAATCCACTGCTAATTCTTTTTTAGAGGTCAAACTCATTTGAATGCTGTTTCCCATGACTTTCCTTATCATTTGGTTTGGTAATGTTTGCTAAATTCTCAGAACTATACTATTGAATTTCCCATGTTCATTTTACTGTCATGTTTGACGTATTGTTTAGACATGCTCCTCCTCCTGAACAATAATGATCTGACTCCATTGATTCACACCTTTTTTAACCTGAACAAATTTAATATAAAGGGACTGCATGCAGCTGTTATTTTGGATTAAGGTTTTATTCTGTCGAAAAAGTTTCAGGCTCAGGAATATTCAGGTAAATCTGCTTTTTCTTATTGTTTAATATTGCCATGCTGAAGAAACCATCTTGAAATGGTGTTTTTTTTGTTGTTGTAATATTATTGGTGGTTTCTAGCTGGTCATTAGCATGAATACGCTGGTCCAAACTGGTCTTCAGTTGGTTTAAAGCTGGCAAACCATCTTGGATCAGCAACAAACAAGCTACCAAGTGGTCATTTCAACTGGGTCTTGGACAACATGGCTAGTCGACCAATTAAAAACCTGACTGAACCAGCTAGAAACCATTTCCAAATTTGTTGCGCCAACATCTTAAGTTGGATTTCCAGCAGCAATGTGGACATTTTTATGGTTAATTTCATTTGATACAAACATTCATTACTGTAAACTCTTTTTTTCACAGAAATGATGGCCAAGTGCATTGTATTGACCGCTATAGCGATGTTGGCGGTGGCATGTGTGGCCTCTCCTCTGTACAAAGACACAGCTGTGAACACAAAGGCGACTGAACGGTTTCCGGAGAGACCACCTGAGACACCCGAGAGACTGGAGTCCCGTGTGAGTCGTTCCGCGCATATACCGGCGGATCAGCGCGAGCTCGTGTCCCGGCAGCTCTTACAGGCACTATCAGGTGCGTGTCTCTGGAAGTAGAAACATTAGAAGAAACGAAGCCTCACTCTTACTTGTTGTTCGTGTTTTTGGCAGAAATCATCCAACGGGAGTACTGCGTTACAGATTATCAAGGCTGGGTAGATTTTGGGCGCCGGAGTACAAACTGAGATTTAACTGTATGCAAAGTAGTAAAAACTCTGTTGATCTTTGTCATTAAATATATTTGCAACTATATATGCGAATTAATTTCATATGTCATATATGTGTGTGTGTGAGTGTGTGTGTGTGTGTGTGTGTGTGTGTGAGTGAGTGAGTGAGTGAGTGTGTGTGTGTGTGTGTGTGTGTGTGTGTGTGTGTGTGTGTGTACAGGTTTATATATCCTGGTGGGGACTTAAACCTGAATACACAGACTCATGGGGACTCGTGTCACGGTGGGGACCTAAATTGTGGTCCCCACGGGTACAAAAGCTTATAAATCATACAGAATGAAGTTTTTTGAAAATCTAAAAATGCAGAAAGTTTCCTGTAAGGGGTAGGTTTAGGGGTAGGGTTGGTGTAGGGCAATAGAATATAGGGTCTGTATAGTAGAAAAACCATTATGTTGCATCCACACCACTAGGTGTGTAACGTACAAGGATGTATACAAGACGATGAGTAAATTGATCTGAGTAATTTACCAAAAGAATTCATAAACAAAAAATGGCAAGAAGTATGGAACTGTGATAGCAAGGGCAGACAAATGTATAATATTCAGCAGCAAGTAGGAAATGTTTTTAGGAATAGGAAAGAAGATACAATTATTTCTCGCATCCGAATAGGGCATACTAGATTAAATCACTCTCAGTTTAATATAGGAAAACATGAAACAGATCAATGTATTTTTTGTAATCATGCAGAAACAATAGAGCATGTTTTAATAAAATGTAAAAAAAAAAAGAAAAAGAAAACGAAAGGAATTAAGGAAGTAAGAAACATGGGCGTTGAATCATTTAATTTGTCAAGCCTTTTGAAAGAGCATGCAGAACAAACTAAACTATATGGTGCTGTTGTTAAATACATTAAAGAAATAGGATTAATCAGGAGAATTTAGGAATGTTTTTTTTTTTTTACCATAAAACGTTATTAGAAGAAGAAGAAGAAGAAGAGTAATTTACCAGAAAACTCTCCTCCGGATTCACAAATACTTCGTAAAGGTCAGATATGATAGTTAAATGTGTGTATTATTAAAGAATTCCAATCATTCGTAAATAGGGCGCGCATGCACGCTCATTCACAATTAGCATTCCCAGCCTATGAATTACAGTTACGCAAATTACTAGGAATGGTGTGGAAGCCTTTGAACTCAATTCTCAGGTTTGGCAAGTTATATTGCAAAAAATGCATAAGAGACTAAAAGGCTATACACACAGCAGCCACAACAGCACTTATGTTCTATTTATTTTTCCTTTTTATTGGAAACATCCCCAAACGCATTAACTATATCATGAAATATCTTGATTCTCACCTAGATTATGTTGATCTATAGTGGGCGATGGTCAAAATAACCTAATAATTTAATCAAATTAAGTCTGTTTACTTAATTAGCAGATATGGATGTCATGCCATAACATATTTTTAATACGACTGAGGTTATATTTAATGTGAATTTAACATTGAAAGTTAATTTTAATCAAAAATATTGCAAGTTAGGCTAATCATAACACTTTCATTGTACAGAAAGAGAGCAAAGAACATTTACATTATCAAAGAACATTCACTGACAGTCTAGAGTTCAAGCACTCTCGAAAACTCCCATTAAAATCACTGAAGCTGTTTACACTGTGAAATTAATATCTTACAGATTCGTACACACATTTGCACTTTGTTGTTTCCAGAGGCGGACAGTAAGTACATTTACTTGAGCATTGTACTTAAGTACACTTTTTGAGTATCGGTACTTTACTTGAGTATTATTTTTTCTGGGAACTTATGACTTTAACTTCACTGCATTTGAAAGACAAATATTGTACTTTTAAAACAAGGAAATTTACTTTTGGTACTTAAGTACTTTTAAAAGCAAGTACTTCTGTACTTTTACTTAAGTAAAAATCTGTCTTTACAACTTTTACTTGTAATGGAGTAATATTTGACCAGCATTATCTGTACTTTCACTCAAGTAATGGAGTTGAGTACTTTGTCCGCCTCTGGTTGTGTCTAACGAGAGAATTTGCCAGAAAAAGGTATTGAGTCAGCGAGCGAGTAAAGAAAACACCGGCATTTTAGCGATGACTCATCTGAACACCTCTGATTGGTCATTGCATTCATAAGCTCAACAGCATTGTGTGTGATTGGTTAATGCGCAGTGCTGTATCTGGCTCAGCGCCAGCCAGCAAACTTAAATTTAAATTTAGCAGCTGATGATATGACGCACTGGACGTTATAATCACGCAGGTGTGATTGTATTAAATATAGAAAATATCAATAGGCTATTTTTTGTCTTTTGGAAGCTGCATTCAAAATCCACTTGACTCAAAAATCTGAGGGGGCAAATCAAAAATTGGCGCTGCCCAATGGAAAGCGCCATACTTGCCCAGTAGGGGCACCTAAGACTCACAGCCTATATTAAGACTTCTAATAATCATTAAAACAATCATCATATTGATTGTAATTATTACCATACATAATATTTTTTGAGTAAAATGTCACAACACATTCCCCCCTCTGAGACTTTACCTAGTCTCACCTCTAAACCCTTTACCCAGAGGGCAACACCATGAGTCCACCTCTTCCTTCCATCTATGAATCAATAATGGTCCTCCAGAACCTCTTAACAAATGGCTTCCTCATGATGCTGCACTCTGGAGGAAGTCAGAGCCAAACATCTCTCCCCACAGTTGACTAGAAGAGTAAAAGACTCTGCTTCCCTACCTATACATTCTTGGGGGTCAAAACAATGAATCAAGAATAAATCATCAATGTGTATTAAAGCATGTGCATGGAATGTCTTAGCCTTGCCCATGGTTGTCATGGTTATGTAGAGTACATAAATGATTAGTCAGATGATTAAACTGATTAAAATTAATATTGATAAACAAAAATGTGATAAATGATGCACTGGTTTATCCCACGGTGCCAGAGGAACTCCAGACATTCCCGGTAGCCTGGAGTGCTATCTGGTGATGTTGGCCATCGCTGCCAGAGGTGCTTTCAGGCAGACTTTATTGCCCTCCAGCTCTATCTGGTGTTGGAGTAGATAGCGGTTTTTAAACCTCCAGCTGAATCTACCCATGCTGCTAAGCACTGAGGTGCTCGTCGATCCTTTCTTCCAGTGTTGACTTTCCCAGTGTTAAAAGACACAAACTATATACTGATAATGAAGGTTAAACGATGATTACTTGTCAAATAATTAATAAATATTCAGTCTTTCTTCGTCTCCGCGGTATTTTCCGTTTGCATTATCTCGTAACACGGACAATGACCTGCTTAAAACCTTCACCGTCCCTTGTCTTCCCACAAAACAATCACATTTTACATTTGATTCATTTAAAAGAATAAATGATTTTCAGAACTAATGATTCTAGCATAAATGATTTCAGGAATATATGACTTAAAAAAAAGAACAAGACTAAAGGAATAAATGACTTCAGGAAGGGGCTTATGACAAAATAATAAAAATAACACCCTCTAACTTCCTGCCTACTCTACCCAAATATTCTAATAACTCTACATAATATAAAAAAGAAAATACAATGACAATACTAACTCCCTTCCTATCAAAATTAACAATAAAAGAGAAAATTAATGAATGAAAATAAAAGGCACCCCTTCCCTACCACTCCTTGATTTGTAGGGGGTTTTACACAATTTTGTCCAATTCATCCAGTCCAGGGCCTATATGGGGCACATGTTGGTGGACTCAATATCAACTCCAGATGTTTCACAGACACACTGATCATCTGCGTAGCTGCTGCATTGCCATCATTTATCTGAGAAAAGGCACAACACAATAGAACAACACAAACACCAAAACAACAACTACTATGACAGTGTGGTTAATGAACTTCTAGTGATTATAACAAATGTAAGTCATTCTATAATGAACAAAATTATAAACACAACACTTTTGTTCTGAATGTGAGCATTTGCCCACTCAAGTCGGTTACGACGACGAGCTGCAGTCAGTTTGAGACCCCGATGAGGACGACGAGCATGCACAGGTACATTTTATTGATGGCATTTTGAATGTATGTGTATGTGAAACTGCACATTTTAGAGTGGCCTTTTATTGTGGCCAGCCTAAGGCACACCTGTGCAATAATCATGCTGTCTAATCAGCATCTTGATATGCTACACCTGTGAGGTGGATGGATTATCTCGGCAAAGGAGAAGTGCTCACTAACACAGATTTAGACAGATTTGTGAACAATATTTGAGAGAAATAGGCCTTTTGTGTACATAGAAAAAGTCTTAGATCTTTGAGTTCAGCTCATGAAAAATGGGGGCAAAAACAAAAGTGTTGCATTTATAATTTTGTTCAGTGTACAGTATATTCTATATATCACAAGTTGTCCTTACAAATATACTCAAAGATTTGAATTCATTGCTAACTTAAAATTTATTTGGTATTCCCCTTGGTTGACCAAATAAGTCTACGTACATACCTTTTCTGACATTGTTTTGGATAAAAATTTCGACCTAAGTTTTATTTTTCCAATCACTTCCCCCCTTGTGCAATGGTCAAAACCATGCACATCTGAAACTGAAGTAACAAGAAATGTTGCCTGTGCAATCATATGTCTTTTTGTATCTTAATTGTCCAACAGGGTGCAGTTGAGGATCTTTGCTTATGCCTTCTAATTTACTCTGGTCTTAGTTTTATGTGCAATTATCCATCCTAAATATCAAGGTGGGAATACCCCCACTTCTAAATTAATGACATAACTCTGATCCAAAGCTACTGAAAATAGGCAATGTGGCATTACCTGTGCTACAGGCCCAGAATGTTTACAGCTGGCTGATGTCATGACAAATGTATTAAACACTGCAGTCATAAACCATTTTTTCCAATCTCTAATATACTGTATGAATTTATCTGGTAGGTCTGTGTAGGTCTTTCTCTTCATAATATTCTTATTGCTCAATAATTGCTCTATTAAATGACTCATAGTCTTGGATCCATGACCAACAATATTAGCATCACATAATGACAGCATTTGCAATACCTTGGGTTTGGAATTTTGGAGTTATTGCTTTATATCTAGGTTTAAAATGAACTATTGACCAAGACAGAGTGACCAGCATAGCTTTATCATCCACATTTTTGTTCTTGTACAAATCTTGGCCCCTTTTAAAGAGCTCAGTAACACAAGCTTATCATCTCTATCTTAAAAGAAAAGCCCAAAATCTCTCTCCTTATTGCGCAGCATCATCAATTATCTAATTATGCATTTACCTAGTTGGTCAATGCAATAGCCGTTCACTTATGCCTAGCCCAGTCCCAGTTTTAGTTAACTGAACAGTCAAACAAACGTTCAGCTTCCACTCCTTTTTTATTTATTAATTATGACTGGACTGGAGTCTATTGAAGGAAAGCAGATAAAGATTGTTAGTTTAATAGAATGTGGAGAACTGCTGTGGAACCAGAGAATAATCAAAATGCAATTAATATGGCCAATCAAGAACATTTGAGGTGGTCTCTAGTGATCATTGGACATGTGCTGTGCTGCTTAGGAAAGGATGAAGTTCTTCTGCTTGCATCAAGTCAAGTCAAGTCAAGTGACCTTTATTTATATAGCGCTTTTAACAATACAGATTGTGTCAAAGCAACTGAACAGCATTAATTAAGAAAATAGTGTGTCAATAATGCAAAATGACAATCGTAAGCACTCATTTTTCAGTTAAAGACAGTTCATCATTCAATTCAGTGATGTCATCATCCAGCTCAGTTCAGTTTAAATAATATCTTTGCAATCAAGTCAACGATATCGCTGGAAATGAAGTGTCCCCAACTAAGCAAGCCAGAGGCGACAGCGGCAAGGAACCAAAACTCCATCGGTGACAGAATGGAGAAAAAACCTTGGGAGAAACCAGGCTCAGTCGGGGGGCCAGTTCTCCTCTGACCAGACGAAACCAGCAGTTCAATTCCAGGCTGCAGCAATGTCACATTGTGCAGAGGACTCATCTGGTTCCTGTGGTCTTTATTGCCATCATGATCAGTTGAACATGTTGGGCTGCAGTTTCCATTTCAACCTTGCTCATCCTCTCTCCCTAGATGCAGGTGTCCTCATGGCCATTCATCATACTTGTTTTCGTGCCATCCTTGACATATTCTTGAAAGTCACCCAAAGTTCAATAGTTCAATCTAGTTCATTGGCGCTGCCCAATGGAAAGCACCATACTTGCCCAGTAGAGGGCACCTAAGACTCACAGCCTATGTGCTTTTGCTTTCGCCTAGAAACACACAGCGTCTCCCTGACATGGCTGCTTCAACACTAACTGCGGTTACTGAAACCACGCCTTCTTTCTTTGCGTGAACATTTGGGCACATTATGCAAATATTTCCACATAGTGAGGTAGATATGTGGGGGCGTGTTAGAACGAGCCGTTTTAGGGGGGCGTGGCAGAGTCTTAACTTTGATAAAGAATATCTCTTTGGTTTTGAGACTTTAGTCTTTGCAACTTCAGGGATCTTATCTATGCACAAACAGCTTGTAACACTCCAAAGAAAAAGGAAAACTTGAAATCGCATCATATGACCCCTTTAAGACGTCAAATAATCATTAAAACAATCACCATATTGATTGTAATTATTACCATACATAATATTTTTTAGTAAAATTTCACAACAATACCCACATAAACACACAAAGATAAGCATACAGGTCAAAAATACACAGAAATCTTTATTGCCATTCAACACAATATCTGAAACAGTGCCTGAAACAGTTACATGGTGAACTCAGGGGCTTTTAATTCATTGTGAGGCTAAACATTGTTCTAATGTAAAAATACAGTGATTATTCCACTTTTAACCTCTGATCCTTGTGTAAATTAACAATTCTTTACATAATTGTATTTATTTATTTTGACATGATCTTTATTTTTATTCTAAACAACTCTTGACATATTCTACAAAAATGGTGATGACCAGGCATGCATTGTGTTTTACACAGAGTGGTATCTCAGGTAGAAATTTTTATTTAAATATATTACTTTTTAAATAACCACCTTGTCTGAGACTTTAGCTGTGTTCAATGAATAATCCAGTGATATAAATTCAGCCCTCGCTGACTCAATGTTAGAATTACTTGCAGCAGAAACTGTCTACTTTATTACTCCATCCCTGATTCTGGTAAAACACAATCATATACACTACAAACTTTACAGGTGAAAACGTGTCTGTGACATTAAAGTTGCATGACATACGTGTGTGTATGTGTGTGCATGGGTGTACTTGCATTAAAGCACAGTGAAAGTAAAGCACAAGATAATTTCTATTCGCTCAACAAGACTGTATCATGTTCCCTAAATTGACCACCAACAGTCATCATAAATACAGCCTCTAATTTTTACAGTGTTTAGACTGCAGGTACAGTACATAGCCTCACATAATGTACCCTGCATTCCCTAAAAAAAGGGATCTGAATGCTCTGAAAAGTGCTATTATGAACAAACGTATTTCTCAGGAAGCAAAATGCATTTTTCTGTAGTGCTGCTACACAGAACAATTTCATAACAATAAAGTGATTTCAAGACTGATAGTGACAAGACAAAGTCTCAACAAAGGAGGACATGTTAAAAAGTCAACAAATGTACAGCTGTTCCCTTCTGAAGAGTGTTTAAAGCACCCCATGACAACAATGATACAAAAAAACAAGCGTGTTTGACTTCATAATGAAATCTTTTTTGAGGTGCAGTTCATACTTTAAATTCCCAGTGCCAAAAGAAGTCACTATGGAAATGAAAACTTGATATGGCTTTCGGAATGCCCCATTACAAATGGGAAAAGTTTAGCTGCGTGCTACAATGATGGTGATGCACAAAATGGCACCTTTAATGATGAACGGCTTTTTGTGTTTCAGGGGGGGCTGGTTTTTCTCTTTGAATCCACAAAGCCTCTGGCAACCACTTTGTACAGGCCCAAGCTTCTGAGTTTTTCCACAAGATTGACGCTGAAAATGTTTCCCTGCCGGTCCTTTTCTCTTTTCTCCTGATCACTTCCAACAGAGCCCCATTGTGTTTCCTCTGAGGATGCGGTGGCTCTGTGAATGAGAGGGGAGTTGGGATGAATTGCAGCTGAGATGCCGCGCTCTGACACAAGTTGTAGCAGACCAAGGGAGGAGGTCGGGTGGAGGTGTGATGTGGACCCAGAGACGCACTGGAGGCCTGATGACGTCCTCACGTGCTCACAGCTCCCACAAGCGGATGCACTGCGGGGCCGAAGACTGGGGAAAGAAGAAGGAAAATCAATGTCAGATGCTCCATGGGAAGTTTTAGTCAGCCAAACCAGACAAGAAATAAACAGGGCAGGACACAAGTGCTATTGCATAACATGTATGATCATGCGGATAAATAAAAGAATGTAGTGTTAGCGAGTCATTCTCAAATAAAAGATAAAAGATAAAATATTTCTGATCTTCAGGAAACCCCATACAAGAAGGTTTTTTTTTTTTTTTTCATTTTATATCCTATAACATTTTAATGATAATATAAAATTGTTCTGAATCTATTTACTTTACGTACACTTTACACATCAAAAATGATTTGCCAGATGCCTGAAAAATCCAAAGTCCTCTTCAGCTGGTATATCACTTAAATTAAATGAATAATTTTTTTTAAAGATATTTTAGCTGAAGCATTAGTGAAAGTCTAACAAGTGTACAAAAAGGCAAAGCCAAAAAAATAATATAAATAATTATTGTCCATTTATTTCATGTCACTGCCGTTGTCAATGTTATAAACTAGTATTTTGAAGGCATGTATATATATATAT